ATTAGAATTCAAAATCGAAAGCTGCTGCTGGTACTGGCTGTACCGTATTGTTTTTCTCACCTTCACCAATAATATTATGCTTAGATAAATCATCATCAGCACTAGACCTACCTTGATCAGAAGAATCAAGGCCGGTTTGCGCTACTACCGGAGAAGCTAGAGACTGGTTTTCCGGCGAAGCCGAGCTGGTTTGATGATCTGGCCCTTGAATATGATCAGAAGGTGGTACAAGTATGCCTTGATTGTACAAAGTGCTTAATTGATGAAAATACGGGCAAGTCCTAGAATCAAGGGACCTCTTCTTGTTAACATCCTTTGTTTTTCTAAAGTACTTATTAATGTTCTCCCATTTCTCTTTGCACCTCTTTGCACTTCTCTTATAACCCTTCTCCAACATCCCTTGTGAGATCCTCTCCCAGAGAGGAGCTTTCACAACTCCATTCTTGTCTTGATCAGCACTGCCATTGTTGAAGAGACTGCACCTCAAGTTTATCAGAGCCAGCACTTCATCTCTTGGCCACCTCTTCCCGAGATCTTGTTTATCGTCATTGGAAGTAGGGTTTTGGGTATTGAGATGATCAGAGCTAGGGTTTTCTGGAGGTATGGGGACTTTTGGAATGGTTGGAGTTGGAGCAAGAGTACTTGAACTAGGGCTTTGGGGTGCAGTGGTTTCAGTTAATGAAATAGGTGTGCTGGGGTTATTTGGAGTGTGGGAAGAAGTACCAGGCTTTTGAATTATTGTAGATGATGTTGGTTCTTTCTCCTGACTACACGTGGGAAGATTAGGGTTTCGTGCTTGATTAATCAAGGAAGATGAATTAGTGCGACGATCATGATCAGGACTTGGTTCTGAAGAAGTAGAACTAGAACTTGATGATGCGAATTTCTTCAAGAACTTGATAATTGTAGCTTGTCTGTCACCAGCAATAGCTTGTTCATGTGCCATAATTTCAAGCTCCTTGTTCATCCTGTCCATCTCTTGCTTCTTCCAAGCTTCTTCCCTTGCAAGCTTTTCTTCACTTCTCTTCACCATGTCTTCAAGAAGCTTGCTGTGCATCTCTTCTTGCTGAGCCATCATCCTGTTCACGATGTCCTCACAGAAGCCCTTTAACATCTCAAATCTTCTCTTTCGTTTTCTCTTCCTAACAACATTGCTCTTTGTTCTTTCCACGACCTCTTTCTCTTTGTCTTGGTCATCAAATTCCTTGCTGCCAACAACTGTTTCATTTCTTGTTGAGTCTTCATCCAAAATCTGGCACCTGTTATCTTCATCTCCTTCATTATTGCTTGGCTTTTCCACCTTTTGTTGGTTCTTGTTTTCAGCCCCAGCAGCTGCCTGATCAGGGTTTTGATCATCATCGCCGCCATGACAGAGCTCCTCAAGGTCGCTGAGAAACCTGTAGTTTTTGGTGAAGTTAATGTTGTTGAAGTATCTGCTTTCTTCTTCAAATTTCTCTTTGCACTTCTCGGCACTCCTTTTGAAGCCAAGCTCTGCTAGCTTCCTGCTCACACCATAAATATGCATAAAACCAACAGAAGCAATGAGCAAGTAAGAGCATTTAGTCACTCTATAGTACTCCAAAAGCTAGCCAGCTCCTAAATAATTAATTAAAAATATATTGTGTACGGGGGGGATCTTTATGTTTTTTAGTGAATATGTCCAAGATGGTCCTTTCCCACTCTCTCTCTCTCTCTCTCTCTCTCTCTCTCTCTTATGAGTAAACAGTGACTAAAATTCCATTAGCATTGATAAAGCATCAAGCCTACCTTTTTAAAATAAAATCTCATAGGTATAACCGTATAAAGATTACCTTATAGTTCATCAAAAGAGAAGCATTTGGATGAATTAATTATACTAGTAGATATATAGATAATTATATAGGTATGTACCTTGAGACATGTTCCCAAGTGAACTCAGGGAACCAATTATCCATGGTAGATCTGATCCTGAGCAGTGCAAGCAATTCATCATTACTCCAAGGATCACTAATCGGCACTTGCGATATCGATGACGATCTCTCTCTTTCAATCTCCAGATTGTTATTTATGGAGACCAAGTTGCTCTCTTTCTTCTCCTCATGATTTTTGGGGGTGGCTGATTGGCGGTGCAATTGTACTCCTGGATTATTGAGAAGCTGATGCTGATGGGGTTGGGGTTGGGGTTGGGGCTGAGGTTGAAGCAGAAGTTGATGATGATGATGAAGATGATGATGAGAAGGGTTATTATTGTAATTAGGATCAAAGGGAGCAGCAGCAGCAGCAACAGCAGAGAAGGTGTTAATATTAGGTGGAGGGGATGAAGAGGCATGGAGAGCTGCTGGGAAGGAAGGGAGAGGGAGAGGGAGAGGGAGAGGGAGAGGGAGGGAAGTTCTGGAGGCTGCTATGAATTGGTGCAACTGCTCAGCTGGGACTCCATCAAACATGTTTGTGTGTGTTTGTTGTTTGAGTGTGTGTTTGTGTGTTTCTCTCTTCTTTACCCTCTCCTTTGTTTGCTCACTGTAAAATGGCAAAATGTTAGAAAGAAAGACTACAAGAACACCAAACCTTCTCTCTCTCTCTCTCTCTCTCTCTCTCTCTCTCTCTCTCTCATCAAGGACTTTTGTCCTATGCTCCTATCATGAAAGAGAAAAGATAGATAGCCCACCACACCGTTTTAGAAGGAAGTGAAGTCACCCTCAAACTGGGAGAAATTATTTGGTACATGAAAAGGTGATATGGTATATTCACTACATCGACTCAATTATTACACTAGTTTTTCTTCCCTTCTTTAATTTGTTTATATTGCAAGTGAGCAACATTGAACTCATACATATTCACTACAATTTGTTTCAAATAATTAGGTTTGGATATTAAAGAATGAAATTGCATGTAGTTATTTAACCTCTATATTAAAGTGTCAAGAATTAATATGGCCAAGTTAATCTTCAAAATCATGGGTTATTGTTTTCTTTCTAATTCTCCTTTTTATTTTGTCAAAATTTGGAAAGGGGATGAGAAGCATGAGACTACTTGATCTGCATGCAAATGCTCTTACTACCGAGTTATGAACGCGTTGGTTTTTTCCTTAAATACACCCATTGAACTACAATATGGCTTAATTTGGACCTAATTAATAACCCAAGCCAAAACCTTTTTACCAAATGTAGGATGAGGTCATATAATTAGGTGAGTGGGATTGGGGAGTGTGATCCACGGAGATAGGGTGAGAATGGTGTTGGGATGTAATATATATATATATATATATATATATATTGGGGGCAATGATACTTAATCTCAAAATGATTTAATTTATTTTTTGGTAGTATTTGGGGTCCTTCAGAATCCTATGCAGTAGCTGATGCTCATGATGGTGTAATTAACGGCAAGGAGATGGCAGGACACGTGAAAACATGCAGAGACTGGGACCAATTTATTTAAGGAAGGTGGGTCTTTCGAACGGTACAAGGCAGGATACAATAAGTATTCTATACCTCATCAATCACAGCCAGGCCCTCTCAATTTCATCCATCTGATCTCAGAGATATATATCATCCCAAAAATATTTCAAAATATTTACTACTTGAACAAAGAGAATATTTCTTCACCTGGTGATCCATTCAATTTCTGGATTCGAAATAGGAAAATAAATAAATAAAAAGCAATGAAAATAGTAAAAAATGGGAAATAGTAAATCCAAAAAATCCAATAGGTTTGTGTCGACACAAAGCTTCACTGTGAGCTGACCTTCTTTCTCGGCTAATAATTGAGCCTTTTTTTTTTGGGAACGTTTTGTGTTGTAGTGAAGCCAAAAGAATTGAGACTTTTATTTTCCCTGTGTCTGTTTGGTCTTTTTGTAACAGCTTTGAATGAAATATTAAGAGATGGTCTTATAGTGTGGGGCAAAGGGTCTTTATTATGGCTGAGTATATAATTCACCAACTTGCCCCATGCATGAGTTATTGAAAGGGATGTATCATAGATTGTAGTTGTTACAAGGGTGCAATGGAAAAAGTTCATCCTCCTTTGCCCATTTTTCCAACTAGGAAGGAAAGATTGACAAACACTTGCACTGCAGGGGTGTGGCTAATTGCCTGCTGCTTAATTTATTAACGAGACGAGAGAGAGGATTCAAACTCGAGACCTCTTCTAATATTAGACCAAAATCTAATTGCTCTGCGACTTGTGATTTCAAATCCATGTTTTTCACTCCTGCCATATAATCCATTGACGGTGTTTTGATCAAGTCTGGAAGCTGGAGCTCAGTTCATAGTTCAAAACAAATATACGGTTAAATATCAATATTTGGTGAACAATAATGTCAATGCGGGGATAGCTCAGTTGGGAGAGCGTCAGACTGAAGATCTGAAGGTCAGGTGTTCGATCCACCTTCACCGCATATATTTTGAGAATTTTATTTCTTTTGGGTCTTTTGGGTTAGAGCTAGTATACAAATTATAATAACTAGTTTGGCCAAATAAGAACATCAAAGCGGGGATAGCTCAGTTGGGAGAGCGTCAGACTGAAGATCTGAAGGTCAGGTGTTCGATCCACCTTCACCGCATTTGAATTAATTTTTTAAGTTTTATTTTTCTTCTGAACTCGACCAGAACTGTAGGACGGGTTTGGGCCTCAACATAAAACTTCCCTTAACCTAACTTAATGTTTTGTGTTCTTTTTTCTGACGACAAAGTAAACAAGCAAATAAACGCAGTCCACGTGAAAAAGCTTTTTGTTGCTCAAATGATTGTGATATCAAGCTTTTTGTTCCACCCAGGAAGAGTAATCTCTTCTCTGGTCAGCAGCTCATATTACGAGTTTTTATCAGTATCTCAGATGGAAATCACTCCATGATGAGATTTCCATTATATGTGACAGATTAAATTTTCACGATCACAAATTACTGAGGAAGAGTTTTTGAGGCATGGTGGAATTCTGAGGAGATGAAGTTCAGTCGAGGGCAAAAATTGAATAAAACAATTTGGGATTTCTATTATGTGAGAAATAGAAGCAAACTGATTTTTGTAACATTTATGAAAGGGAAACCTGTTATCGAATCTTATTCTGTACTGAAATACAATTTCATTCATGAGTTAATCAACAAACCAGCAGGAACAGTAACATTAATTTGTTCTAAAAGGCAAGATCCTAATGTATGAAAGAGTGCGATCTTGGTTTGCTCCTGTGCCATGTTGAAGTTTTTCAAATTAGTCCCTCCCCGGTATGAATTCCATCTTGGACGCCATACTTCACTGCAAGTAGCAAGGCGCACACTAGTTTAACGTTTTGTGAAACGCAACCTGCAGTGACAATTGTCAGTAAATTGATTAACCTAACTGGAATTGGAAAGTTTTCCCATTATATAGAGTAGGATTGGCCACAGTTAGGTTTACGAAAGCCGGCATATGTAGTATACAATCATATGGAAGATAGTTGAACTAGTAGAGCTTAAGGGAGGCACATACAGATGTCGATGTCTTCAGTAGCTCTCTGATGGCCATTGTTGCATAACAAGAAGCTGGGAGAGTAAAGCTCAACTTGAAAGCCGTCTGAGTTTCCTGAGGATTAGTATCACAGAGGGATTCAGCTTGTGGCAATTCTTCTCCCTTCGCCTTTGCCCCATTATCATCTGTCTGAAGCCCTATATCGTTGTCTAAGCACTCTGATTGTTTTGTTTTATCATGCAATCTTCCATCTTCATTTAGACTGGATGGTTTGGTTTTGGCAATTTTGTCGAAGTCTGTGTCCACCAAAGGTTTATTTCCATCAATATATTTTAGTATTTCCCTGGAACAATGAAAATCAAACAATTATTGTATACTATTATTTGATAATTGAAGTGTATGATCAAATTATTGAAGATGAAAAAAATGAGAGTGGCTATACCATTCAAAGTCCATTGGTTTTTGGAAGACCCGCCTATAGCTTCCAGTCATACTGGTTATTGAGAATTCCCTAAAAAGAACAAGATGTGTGCATTTAATTAGAATAGAAACCCATGAGAGAGAGAAGGGGCGTGGTGAGGAGGAAAATAGGAGTGTACTTGACATTATGCACGCTCTCTGTCAAGCTGATTGCATCCTGATTGATATATTGTAAACACAAATTCAGGAGGAAAATAAGATGGATTATAAATTAGAAGGAAATCAAATAAACAGTGGGAAAGCCTGAAATTGATGCTGAGAATAAGAACCTTCTTTGCCAAATCATGAAAAACATGAGCAATGTCGTTTTCTGGAAAAATGACTCTGGAACTGCAAAACAACAACGTATTAAAGAACTTCATCAGTCGTAAGATGGCCGGAGAAGCATACAATCAGGGAAGACTGTCAATCTTTCCTTACCCGGGCATTGGAAGGACAACATCATCAATGGTGTAATTTCCACTAAGGATATCTTCCGCAGTTACAGCCTGCCAGATGGTAAGCCATATTAATATTTCAAATCTTTTTAGTTAAAAATAAAAAGCAAAATCCGAACTCAAAGGTGGGTTGTGTTTTGTAGATCAAGTTACTAAGGTGGCTATAATCATAGAATACTACTTAGGAAAGCAGGGGAAAAAGCCAACGACCTGGACACAACTAACCTTCACAAGATTAAGCCTTTCCTCAGGAAGATTTGTTCCAGATATATCATCTAAATCAATAGGATCAAGCGTATCATTACCATTTTCATCTACACATTCAGAACTAACAACTTCTGACACCTTTTCAGTTTCATTTCCTTTACAATATACCAAGTCTCCCAACACAACTCGGTCAGTTCCTGCCACATGGGGTAATAACTTTGGGTTTAAAGAAAGTGTAGCACACAAAGATAGTTGCAATGAAGCTTTGAAAATGGAAACAATGATGATGGTGACATGAATATCATATTTACACTTCATTTACATAGAGAGAGCCAGATAACAACTTTTTTTCACAAGATAGAAAACATTCAGCTGTAAGATCAGTCTAAATGAATCAGTCTGGTTATCTCCAATGAATCATCAGGATTCAGAAAAAAACCAACGGTGGCATACCATATTTCTGCACTCTCATACTCGCTGCATGGTTCCACAAATAGCTTTGGTAACTATGTACATACCTGAAAAAAGTGTGGTAATAATGCAGAAGAATACCAAAAATCAGAAGGATATTGGAAAAAAGAAGAAGTTGTAATATCAAAGCAGATTACAAATATTGCCCTATATATATTTTTTGAAAAAGATAAGTTTTATTTCATAAAAACCATGCAAGGTGGACAAGTAAAAATATTGCCCTATATACAAGCTTGCATTGATTGACTTGCACCCACCCCCTTCTCTGAAATCATGGTTTTCATTTAAGGTATATGCAAATGAGAAGGAAAACCAAGATGAAAAAGAGATGCAACAAAAATACACACATAAATGTTAAATTAAGATGGCCTCCATTTACGAAGTTAAAAAAAAGCAACTCAATATGCATGCTAGAAAATCACTTACATCATCCTCAAAGTTCTAGGAATAGCTTTCAAAGCTTGCAAGTAGTTCCCAGGACATTTCTTCAGACATTGCAACTGTATGAGAACAAAGAAGAGGAAAATTTATCTCATGACATGAAGCACAAGACAAAGTAATCCAATTCAGTAATACCATACAGATATTATGATCACCATGCTAGATGCATGAAAGTTACATAAAGGATGCACGCTTACAGCAAAGCCAGGGATGGATTACTCACAAAAACAAAAAGATTTATATATAGAACTTACTTTTTCAGGATAGTTTATAGAATCAAGAAAACACTGCATGACCATACGAAGCAATCATAGTTGAAGACTTACTATAGCTTTTTCAGAAACCAGATGTCGAGGTAATCGCCTCAGGGTCCCTTCAATATCATTAGTTTCCTTATAATATTCTCGTGCCTCCGTAATTGCATTTTTTTGTAATCAACGATCAAGTTAAAGAATACAAATACCAACAGAACACTACAGAAGCATGCACTAAACCAGTTTATCAAGAAGTAGAGTAGAAATGAAAAGAAAAGTATCTTCACAATACCGGGTAACATTAAAAGGATATCCCCTTCTCTTGGATCAAGGAACAAGCTCACAGTAGATTTCCACTCTCCTCGGAGTAGTGTAGCTCCAATAAGGTGAGTTGGCACAGAACCACTTCCAAATCGCTGAATTCATCATTTAGAAGTTATTTTACTAACCACAATAAAATGTAATCCACATACTTTAAGAAAAAATTGTCATACAGGTTTAGACGAAAAAGAGAGGAAAAAAAAAAGTGTTTTAAGAAACAAGAAACCACTTGTCCGAAAAACAAAGGAACCAGGTACCTAATGTCAATAACATTTCTCTTTCTAATTACATCATTATTGCAAACAAAGAGTTTAAACCAGGAGAAGATATATTCAGAGAGACAGAGAGTACTTGTAAACCAAAGTAGTTAATAAATCCCTGCTTTCCCAAGGCAATTGCAGATGCTTTGATGGTATCTTCAGAATCTGCAACAACTCCTCTGAGAAGATATGTGAGTGCATACAATGAGCGAATGAGATTTTGAACAGCAAAACTAGCCATGAGTGATTTTTATTCAAGCTCACATAAATGATCATGGTGAACAAGCTTACCTCAATGTAATTGTAAATCGGTTTCCCAAGAGTTGGCCTAGGACAAGTCCTTCCTTCACGTAGCTAGACAAATGCAACTTTTATTAGGATGTGTTAAAAACCAATTGGGTGGGAATATCAATTAAGTCACAATGTATCGGCCTTACCAGAAGTCACCTACTTTGATACCAATCAACCTATCATTAAGAGCGGCTAATCTAGTTGCAAGCTGCTTAAAAACTGTAACCTGGAACAAATATTTCTTCTAGATAAGCAAATATACAACATTTAAAGGCATAAGAAGAAAGATTAGTGAGTATCAATTACCCTTTGAGTTGTGACAGCACGCTTATCCTTTGTACCAGCAAACCCAAAGGACCTTGGCTATGAGAAGAAAAAAAACAATAGCAATCTATTAAAACTAAAACAAATACTATCAATCTATTAATACAAAGTTCTACATATCTGACCCATCTCAACTGGTTACAGGAAAAACAATAATCAATGTTTTGCTCTCTGTCACTTTAGTGAAATTTAAGTATAGAACTAAATAAAATAAAATAATCTTTCATCACCACTACTTCATAGGCCATCGCTAACATATGGACAAAGATCAGCAAGTGTCTACTTAACAAAATCAAAGACAAGAAGAGATAACCAAAGTGCAATTTTTATTATAATGAATGTGTTAAGTGTGTCCATGCATGCAAGGAAGCAGAGAGTAAAGGGTGACCAAATTATTAACTCTACAATGAGTTCCTTAAATCCTAATATCGGAGTAACAAAACGCCAATAATTACTATGAAAACACATCAGGCAGTGAAGATGTTAACTTGACAATCATTGTCAAAACAGTAGTCATATGTCAAATGTTGTTCAAGCCACTAGTTCTCAGCTGGAACCCATACCTGGATACCAAGCATCTTTGCTATAATTCCTAAGGCTTCCTGTGTATCCTTGTTCTCCTTGTAAAGATGAAACCTGTACATTCACATTAGAAGACCTTTTAGATAAGCTGAAGCAGAACTTTTCTTTGCCAGTCAAAAGAAAAGGCCTCTTATAGATCACTTTTTAACAAAAAAATCTTTTCAATAGCATCTTAAAGGTAGAAAACACCTAGTTATCCCTTATGCACAAACTGAAACGGGAAGAAAAAAGCAATAAAAGATATTTAAATTATGCAGGTATCTTTCTACAATGAGTGAAGAATTAAATCTTTAAAAGATCAGAACCCCCATCAAACACCCTTTTACCTAAGGAACTTGCCAACATTCTCTGACCAATCATCTGAACCTCTGCTATCAAATGGTTTATCACCTCTTTCTTTTCGTTTTCTTGAATTTCTGCCTCTGCTGTTCTGTCCTCCTGAATTTATTCTCACCCGGATGCATTTTGATGAAGCATCTGGTCCATCAACTGTGTCGGTGACAAGGAACTTGAAGTTTTCCTTAAAAAAATTATGCACTGCCTGAAAGACTAATAATGTAAGCCATAAATGAAACTGAAGGATAGAAATCGGTTACTTTGTTTTATTTCCAAATAGGGTGGCAAAGGTGGGATAGGCAGATTTATTTTTGCAGATTATTTGCACCTTCCTTTTCACATTAGTGGATATCAATGTTCATTGGTCCACCCTGGCCTCTCTGATTCCACAAGTTTCAGGTCTAGGACGCCATGCAAAACACTATATAAATTAAACCAATGAGATAAGACCAAACTGAAAAACTAACCCTTCGATGAGATTTATCATAATCTGGGGAAAGAACAATAGGCAAAATACTATCTTCACTGCCGGAATTAATTTGATTGATTATAGCTTCCAATCGCTCAGCATCATCAGGGTCAACAAGAGATCTAAACGACTCAATTTCGGTGGTATAATCTTTACTTGTAGCATCATGCGTCTTTGTTTCAATTTCCTTAACTGTCTGCATATGTTAGAAAAGTTACGCTTCCATAAATATTAAATTGGATACATAATGTACGTACATTCAATAAGAATAACATTATAAACTTATCTACCTCTGCTGGGGCATCCAAGTTGGTCAAATGTACAACATTTCCCTCCGTATCTACTTCGTTTACCATAAAATCAGAATACCTAGATGAGTTACCAACAAAAAGAACAAAAGTTAATACATAGACAACTGGTTTATCCTTTAAACCACAGAAGATACTGAATTTCATGAATACAATTCAGGAAAATAACAACAAAAAAGATGCTGAATTTCACATCTTGTGGTTTTCGATCTTCAAGTTCCAAACTTTAATTACTATGGAACTCAGCGCTCATGAAGTTAGTCACACCCTCAGTTTCACTTTTGGAAGCAAATTTCTTGCTACAAAATTCTAGTTTCATTTCATTTTCCTACACATTCCTAACATCCAAACACAGCACAACGAGAGAAATAACAACTTCAAAAGAAACCAAACAGAACAGAACGCTCATATTTCTCGTACCCTCCCAGCCAGACAACTTCCCAGTAAACACCGTAACCACAAACTACATTTTATTCATGCACACACACACATATATATTCAGACCTTTGCTTTAAAATGCCGCGAAATCCAGGGAGTTGAGAGATGTAGCAGAAGATCCCGACGTCTGGTTCCTCTGTAGTTTTCATGGCCGTTATGAATTTCAAGGTGGTTGGTGGTGGTGGAGTTGCAGAGCAGTAGGGTTTTAGCATAGAGAAGCACGATGGTACAGGCTTAAGCCACATTTCGATTTCGCGGTACCGCTTTACCCGAAAACGCACCGTATTACCGCGTAACCTTGAGTTTTTTATTTTATGCGAAAATAAAACATAGTAAATTGTACGAAGTTACGATTGTGCCCTGACCCAGCGAGAGTGAGCCTGCATAGAGAGTTGGAGAGAAAGAGACAAGTGCAAACTCCTGAGAAAGTGCGTTCTGAGTAAACTCCCTCTCTCTTCCAATCACAGATCCAGAAGCCGGCTAGAGAGAGAAACAGGAGGCTTTGCTTGTCGAATTGGCGAAGATGGTGAGCAAAACAGAGGAGACCCAGTTGAACAGGCTCGAGAACCAGGTCGATAATGGAGGAGGAGGGGCTTGGGAGTACCTCTGCCTGGTCAGAAAGCTCAAGGTCCGGCGTTCCGAGAAGGTGCTAAAGCATGGCTTGTCGATCTTGAACGACATCAAAAAACGATCAAGTCTTGGCCCGGACGGTGAGTTTTGAGCTTCGGTTGTTGGTAATTCCATCTGGGATTATGTGTTTTTATCAGATTGGTTTGAATTGAGGACGTATTGGAATTGCTTAATATGGTGAAGATTTTGGGTTCTCTGCAATTTGGCGGGTTGTCTGTGTTAAGTCAATTAGGTTTTTGTTGTTTTGCGTTTGTTTGATCATGATAGCTTGATTTGAATTGAGCATGGATTGGATGGAATTACTTGATGATGAAACAGGCTGAGCTCTGTGCAGTTTGATGTGTTTGAATTTATATTAATGGGGCTGTAGTTACTTTGCAGTCTGTTCTGTCATAGAAGCTTAATATGAACTCAGTGTAAACAAGGCATGTCTTTGGTTATATGCATCCTCCAATTTGAAGTTCCTCTTTATTGGGGAGAGCTTTTGATGTCTGACTAACAATCACTTTGTATTTTTCGATGTAGAATGGACTTTATATGAGCAAGTTGCAATTGCAGCCATGGACTGCCAATGTCTTGATGTTGCAAAGGTATAATATGTGCTTTGGCCTATACTTTTATAATTGCATAGCTTTAATTTTTGGCCTTGCAACTTTAGGCTTCCCTGCTTAGAAGGGGGTCAAATATTGGTTTTGGTATAACCTACTCTTTATTTGAGAGTTGCATATCTGTGTAAGGCAAATGTGCTTTTTCTTTCCTTTTAAATTAGTTGTAGTGCTCGTGTGCTATATTGAGTATATTCTGCAAATTATGGAAAAGTTAAGTACGTTATCTTATGCCTGCCTTACTTAAACTTTTGCAGGACTGCATTAGGCTTTTACGGAAGTCATTTCCAGAGAGTAAAAGAGTTGGTAAGAGGAAATAACTGATTTTGAGGTCTGATATTACATCCTGTAGTGGTATCAAGATATTTGGTACCTTTTTTATGGGAAAAATATTTGGCTAACTGGAGTGGAAATTAATGTTGTTGGCTGTTTCTATGTGGTGGCTTAGCTATTTTCTTTGGCATAAATCACAGGCAGGCTAGAGGCTATGTTGCTTGAGGCAAAGGGAGCTTGGGCAGAGGCAGAGAAGGCTTACTCGAGCTTTTTGGAGGAAAATTCACTCGATCAAGTAAATCATATATAAATTCTTCATGCAAAGATGGATACGTTTATTTCTCTTTTATATGAGAAAAATAACTTCTTTTCTGAGGAAAGATAAAGGAAAATGATTATTTATTTTTCTTATGCAGGTAATACATAAGAGAAGAGTAGCTATGGCGAAGGCACAAGGAAATATTTCAGGAGCCATTGAGTGGCTTAATAAGTATCTGGAAATGTGAGGCATATGTTAAATTCCGTGAAAGAAAATGATTTTATGTCTGCAAGAAAAAAGTTGCTGAGTTGACTTTTCCCCCTTTTGGCAGATTTATGGCTGATCATGATGCTTGGAGAGAGCTGGCTGAAATATATGTTTCCTTGCAGATGTATGTTTCTGGCAGACTTATCAAAACTTAGTGGCTTCAAATTGCCTATGCTTTGTTGTCAATTGATAAGTTATGTCTTTCTGTAAACCAGGTACAAGCAAGCTGCGTTCTGCTATGAGGAGCTGATATTATCTCAGCCTACTGTTCCACTTCACCACTTAGCATATGCTGATGTACGTAACCTTTTTTTTCCCTTACTGTCCAATAATTCCTTTTTTTTTTACATGAACTTTTTCTTTGTTGGTTTTCACGGCTAAAGAATAATTGTGATTAAAGAAAAGCTCCTTGTACCCTCTTGTTGAAGGGTGTAAAAAGTTACCTAAATCTTCTTATATCATCTCCCAAATTACTGTTATACTATACCAGCCTCCCTTGTTACGATGAATTTCAGCTAGAGTCAAGACCGGCTTCTTTTTTTATAAAGTTAGCCATTAAACTGAAAAAAATTACATACTGGAGTCAAGCTAGAGTCAGAGTTAGGATAGGATATCCTGAAATAGAGGGCCAATGAGAGAATTGATTTTGTGTATGAACTCCGAATATGAACACCTAGTATCTAACTTGCAATGAACAACCTTGATAGTTGATCTTTTGTTTCCGTACTATTTGGAAATGACAAAATGCGAGTCCTCTGAGAAAGAAGTAATATGGCATTGCATATTCAACATGTGGTCATGATTACATGCTTTAACAGCACTAAAGAACCCCATTAAAAAGCGAATAAATGTCTGATATTGGGCTCTCTGTGGTCAACAGGTGCTTTACACACTTGGTGGACTAGAAAACGTTCAGACAGCAAAAAAATACTACGCATCCGTTATAGACTTGACTGGGGGCAAGAATATCAGAGCACTTTTTGGTATTAACTTGGTGAGCTCTCTCTCCCTCTTGAGGTGCATTGATTCAGAGATACACACACATATATATTGGAGTAATTTAAGTTTTAGACCATTGCCGATCCTGCTGGAGCTTAGAGTTGTCTATTACTTTCTGTTTTCCCATCTGATTTATTTTTGGTGTATTCGTATGATTCTGAAATTAGACACCTGCTATTTAATTTCATTATTCAAATTGTTCTGTCTGAGCCCTTTCTTTTATCCATCTTGTGACCAACTTGAATTACTGAAAGAAAGTGTTCTAACTCCTGCCTTCTTCCAGTGCACTTCTGCCATTGGACAGCTTGCAAAAGGAAGGAACAAGGAAGACAAGGAGAGCTCAGAGCTACAATCACTGGCAACTACAGCCTTGGAGAAAGACTACAAGCAGAGAGCTCCCGACAAACTTTCCCTGCTTACTACTGCTCTAAAAAGCTTGAAAGTTTCATCATAACTCCTGTGTCTTTGAAGAATCTTCGTATAATTGCCCCGACTCCGATAGCAATATCATAGTTATGTTAAATGATTTTTTGCCTTTCTTCTTGGTTTGTGTCTTTTTTTCCCAAGTCCTTAATAAGAGGACGTGATGTATTCTTTAGGATGCCAGTTCCACAGTGGCTAACTAGGAATGTATGAGTGAGTAGTGAACCACCATTTCCTTTCACAATTACTTTCAGATTTGCTCCTTCTCACTCTCCTTTGTGGGTTTAATCTTCTATTTCCGTTTCTTCTTTTTTACTGATGCAATGCAACTATTATATTAGGAGGAAATTGATGCCATTCTTTCCTATCCTTTCCTTTCCTCGGCCAATTTTCACTTCTCAGTTTACGGGCAATATTATTAATTATTAATTTGTTTTTTATTAACTTTATTAAAATCATATTTAGTTTGTATAATGACTATAAATAAATCGAAAGAAAGTGTCCAGATAAGAGGGAGAATAAACGTGTGATATATTTATCCTTTTTATTTTTGGAGGAAGAAATTTAGAAGAGAAGATGGAAAATATATATAACCCAAGCTATAGAAAAAAGAAAAGAGTATAACCCTGAATAATATAAAAGATATTTTTCCATCATAACCAAAAACAAAAGATATGTCAACCAAGGTGGTTGGTGTGAGTGGTTCGGCACTCTCATTCCTTAAGAGAGGTCAGGGGTTCGATCCCTGCTCTTGTATGGAGTCACCACTTTGGCCAGCACTTTACTCCTTACGGGCCGACCCGGTGTGAGCGGGGATTAGTCTGGGTTGTGGTTAAGGCTTAAAGGTGCCATCCATAGTTGGAGCCCATCCAGGACCACCTCGTGGTTCAGACCAAAAACAAAAAAAACAAAAAAACAAAAGATATGTCATTTGCAAAAACAACAATTAGAAAACTTTTAATTTTAATCATGCCATTTTCGTAAATAATCACATTAAGTAGTGGCAATAGAAGCTGAGAAAGACAATATAACCACACTGTCTAAAACTAGGGTTTGTGCTCTTGCTCATCTCTCGTCGTCCTTGCCTCTTGTTCGCGTACCTGCGCCCTAGCCACCTCTTCTCTCACAACATGGCCGTCGGGTACATCTCCCTCCTTCTCTCTATCTACCTATCTCTCCTCTCTCTCTCTCTCTCTCTCTCTCTCTCTCTCTAAATACTTACATGCGCATTTGTATGCCTGTAAATTTTTTGTGGTTCTCATTTGACTCAAATTGTGATGAATTTGCAGTAAGAACAAGAGGATTTCGAAGGGGAAGAAGGGTGGGAAGAAGAAGGCGTAAGTTGAATTCACAGGCCCCTGGTTTTGTTTGGTGTTATTTCATATATGTAAAATGTGTCTGTATTATATTGTTAATTATAAAAAAAATATAGTAGATTTTTTGTAAGAATCATATTTTGAGGTTGACATTGTTGAATAATATGATGCAGAGCTGACCCATTTGCTAAGAAGGACTGGTATGATATCAAGGCTCCTTCTCTCTTCACAGAAAGGCAGATTGGCAAAACCCTTGTCTCCAGAACTCAGGGCACTAAGGTCTCTCTCTCTCTCTCTCTCTCTCTCTCTCTGTGCATATGTATGGATATAATTTTATATGTATATATGTATTGGGTTACATTTATGGTTTTTTAATTATCTAACATTCCCTGTAGAGCAGTTTGATTTAGATCAGGGAATAAGGAAGCCATGTATTTGTTTTGCTTTAATAATTGTGGTGACCTGCACTGATTAATATCTGATTTGTTGCTTTTATTGAATTCTGATGGTTTGTTTTCATCATTATCAAACAGATTGCTTCTGAAGGACTCAAGCATCGAGTGTTTGAGGTTTCTCTGGCTGATCTCCAGAAGGATGAGGAGCATGCTTACAGGAAGATCCGGCTAAGAGCAGAGGATGTGCAAGGGAGGAACGTACTCACTAACTTCTGGGTATGGTACTGCGTAACTGCTATTAAATTTTCTTTAGTAGATATGGTGTATTTTTGTTTGAGTTGTGAACCTTGAAGTATATTTTGGTCTTTTCTCTATTTCCAGGGAATGGATTTCACCACTGACAAGCTGAGGTCGTTAGTGAGGAAGTGGCAGACACTGATTGAGGCTCATGTGGATGTAAAGACTACTGATAACTACACCCTTAGGATGTTTTGCATTGCATTTACCAAGAGGCGTACAAACCAGGTCAAGCGAACCTGTTATGCCCAATCCAGTCAGATTCGTCAGGTTTGTTTTAACGTTTCATTTTCTCTTCCATGTTGTTTATTCTCTGCTTCCAAGTGTTAATGTTGAGTTGCTTTATTTTTGGTCTCTTGCTCATGTTAGATTCGACGCAAGATGAGGGAAATCATGATAAACCAGGCTGCATCCTGTGATCTGAAGGACTTGGTGGCAAAATTTATTCCTGAGAGTATAGGCAGGGAAATTGAAAAGGCAACATCCAGCATCTACCCACTGCAGAATGTTTTCATTCGAAAAGTCAAGATCTTGAAAGCTCCCAAATTTGATCTTCCCAAATTGATGGAGGTATGTGTATCATGCAGGTTTCCTCTGCAGTTCAGTTTCCTGTTTCTTTGTGTAATTAGATTCTGTCTTGTTGTGGTTTATGAACGTGCGTAGATGAGCGTGCTATTTAGCAATGATCAATGGGTTTCTGAGGTTTTTCTGTTCTGTTGTCACTAGGTTCATGGCGGAAAAGAGGACGTCGGTGTGAAGGTGGACAGATCAGCTGAAGAAACAGTGCCCGAGGGAGAGACCGAAGTTGTTGGAGCATGAAGCAAGCTGTGCTTTATTAAGCCATCATTTGCTTTACTTTTAGGGGAGTTTTGTTTGTCTTTTCAGACAGATGCAGAGTTAGTGCATCCTTGAGAGTGTATTTGAACATTGTCTAGCAGTTGATGTTCGATTATCACATGAAAGATGCTTTAGTAATTTTTTTAGAAAAATTTTGTATTGTCTGTGACATATGGTCATCCTTTTCAATGTCTGATTCTTTCGAATACAGCTGCTGAGGTTTTGCACTACCAGTGTTATTTTCTACTATCCGAATGTTTACCCAGCCGTCCCATTGAATATTGTAGGAAAATTGCCTTGCTTTTTACGCCATTGAGGAGAGTCTGCATTGAATTTTGGGAATTAACGTTCGCTATTTGCTGAAGTCATGTATGTGGCTTTTTCTTTTTAACATGAGCCAAAGGTGGTAGCGGTTATAAAATTTTCATTTACCATTTACTGAAAGAAAAAAAAACCAATTTAACTGATGCTACAGCCTTATTAGCTTTAGGAGGATTACTGTTTCAAATCGAAGCCATTCATAAACCAAGTTCATGAAGTTCTTTTTATTTCTGTTCTAGCAATAAAACTACCAGCAAGGATGCGTCTGTGCTGCTCCGGCAATTTGATATTATCTTAGCATATTTTCCAGTTGATTAAGACTATGCAATGAACAAACAGTAAACTACACATCCCATAACATTGAATAGAAGACATTATGTAAACTCGAGTCCTGGGTGTTTTTTGGGGCAACAACTCTATCATAAGAAAAGATAAAAATTGCAAAAAGCCACATCTGTGATAAAATTTGTATCACAATAATGCAGCAAAGAATAGATAGGCCTTAAGCCTCAGCATTACAAAGGAAAACGCAAGGGCTTGACTGGAGCTTGTGGGAAGTCAATGCTTCCGTGGTGGTGCGAGAGTTGGGAATGGTGGAATGGATCTCAGAACTAACTTCCTGCCGCCCCTCCAAGCAGCTGACCCGAACTCGCTGCCGCTGTGAGGAGGTGAAACCCTCTTTGAGTTTGGAGAGGTTGACTTCACACCACTGGGTTGTGAGCAGCTATTATCCAATGCCTCAAGAGTTTCCTCTTCCGGAATTACCTGAAGATGCCTTTCAGGCTGAGGAGATGACAGAACAGAATGTAGAGAAAATATTTTCGGTTTCCCACTAAAACTGGCTGTGAGTTGGCCTGAGGGTCTGCAAAACAAAATAACCTTCAAACATTTATAACATGAAGTTACATACAGTCCATCAATCTAACAAATCAGTCGATTAAAAACCTGCAAATCCCAGGAAGTGTCATTGGGAGATCTTGATCCTTCACTTTCCCTAAGCTGACATCTGTTGCATCCTTTTTCCGAACTCGTGATTTGTGTTCTTCAATTTCACTTTCTTCAGCTTCTATTTGATAAAGAAGAAGAATAAATTGAAAGTACAAAAATTTGTAGAACCTATTAGAAACATAAAATAATTTGTTGAATTTCGTATGACTACTCTTTTTCTTTTTCTTTTTCTATTTACTTGCACTACATATGGAAGCACATAGACAGGGTAAGGAAAGTAGCCTTCTGTTAGCTATGAGATCCATCATATAAATCATGTTTGCTCACCATCTTTCCGACCAAAAGTGTTTTTACACCCTATGCATCGGCAGAGAATGGAGCATCCAGCACCACCCTTGATAAAAAAAATTAAAGGGCCCACATCAGTTGGTAGATATATATCAAAATATTAAAGAGATTTAGAAGAGCGTTACATTCATATTAAACAGACTAAAAGTTGGTACCTGGAAGCATTCACAGTATTTTTTCAAGCAACCTGATTTTCTACAATTGCATCCCCTTTTATGCCTAGCTGAAGTTGGGGTGGAGTTAGTTTCCTCCTGCATGGGGAAAATTGTGAGTCTACAAGGTTATAATTTATAGCACAATGGAAATTTTCATAAGAAAATAGTATCAGATAAATCATGGCATCCGACCACCACAAAGCAATCCTCACTATGACTTTTGTGATAAATGATATCTCCAATCAAAAATTGGATTCCAATGCAGTGGTGCCTCCTAAATCTGATGTTTCAATGACTTATTGTCATGTCAGAACGTATAATGTCAGTCATAATTTCTAACCCCAAATTGTGGAGTAGCATTGATGCTACCAATCACTTTGGGAGCAAATGCAAGTGGGTTGCGAGATTCAATCAGTCTGCGAGTCTCTACAACAATATTTTCATAAATAGGCTTGTTGAAGCATTCTTGACATGAACAAGGCTCAATACAGTAGAGACCGGCAGCAAAACAGTCACAGTAACTGCGTCAGTGAACATAGGAGGTCAGACTAAGAGAAGAATGGAAAAGAAAGAAAATGCTAAAATACTAATCAGTCAATATAATGCATTAAACTCACATTTTAAGAGACAGTACGAGCAATAATAGGCAGGTACCCAAAAAAAAAAAACTCACAGTTTCAGGCATTTTGACCTCTTACAGTTACAGCGCTTGCAGGCCAAGCTTTCTCCTACATGTTGTGACTTAAGCCTGCAAGGTATCAACCGTTAAAACAATAGATTTCAAATGGTGAGGTAAAAAAGAATATGGTAGTCAATAGAATCTTCTGCACATGCCTTTTATTCTCAGGACTACTATGGTCGGATTCTACACCAACTGGTGCACATGCTTCGGGAGGAGTTTCTGCAATATGAACTTCACTTTTGCAAGATTCATCACGAGAAACCTCACTGGGAGTCAAACAAGTACTAGATATCTTGGAGTTCGGAGTCTCTGTTACTTGACTCTCAGAAGCCTGAGTCTCATGGTTTACAACTTTACTTAAGTTACTTTCACTAGTAGTTGCAAGAGCATTCAAGTGCAAACCTATACCAGGTAACCTAGAAGATGAATAATCACAACCCGCTGTAGTTCGAATCAACTTTTTTTCAAGGGTGACTTCACAATTGGACTGTAATGGGACTGAATAACTGCCACTAGTATCACATATTGATTTCCTTTTGTGAGTTTCTGCCCTTTCAAAATTCAAACACCTCCTGCTTATTGCGTACGACTGAGAATTATGCTGAACATGGTTAAACAAAATTGTTGCATTATTATAAAATCAAAATGTATGTACTTGAGACTCTGTGCGCGAGTGTCTGTGTGTGTGTGTGTGTGTGTGTGTGAGAGAGAGAGCGAGAGAGGAAAAATTCATAAAAAATAGAGAAGTAGGGAATGGCAAGACATGAAAAGAAAGTCATCGGAACCATTGAGTCATTAACCTCTACAAAAATATTAGTCAAACCAGTATATTACCGTGCAGCTAGAATGGATACACTTTGGGCACTTGTCATCTACATTTAACTTATCCAGCAAATTTCTAGAAAGTACTGCTGGTGCTTCATCTGTTTCCTTCAAGTCCCCAATACCTTCTGATTGATTACTGAACTTTCCCAATGCGTATTGTTCACTGGAATCAATAGGACCAGATTCCATCACTTCCATATCATCGTGATTGTCTTGTAGGATGTTTGATATAAAACAGATTGCCCCAGGATCTACTGTTTTAGGATCCTCCCCGTCAGAACTCTCTTCAATGGTTGTTGAATCAAAATTTAACAGATCAGAAGCATCAGAAATCAACCTCGTCCAATCAACTCCAGCTGCTTCTTTCTCATGCTCCATTCCGCAAATTCTGCGCAAGTGTGTTTCCCTTTCAAATGAAGAGTGCCTTTCTTCTGAATGATGTACAACGGATTGAACAAGTGATGCCGGCGTGGCAGCTGTCTCCAGCACAGTATCTGTGGCATCACAAGGCACATTTCTATCTGGGCTACCAGAACTATACTTCAAGGTATTTGACAACTCAATTGCTAGTTCCAAATTCTCAGCTGGTATTGCATGGGTAACCTCTGTACCTGAACTTCCAGGTGTAAAGCATTCTGATTGCTTAGTGCCAAAATAAGATTGTTCAACAGCAACTGGGACACTTCCAAGTTTATCACTTGGGTTTGGAGTCTGGAATGATTCCGGATTTGATGCCTCAGAGGAGTGATGCCTGACAACATTAACAGGACATAAAACACTTGCGTAAAACTAGCAACCAAAATGTTTTTTTTTTTTTCAAATTTTAATTCATCAAAGCAGGAAGAGATGATCAATTATACCTTCTGAGTGAGAATCTAGTTTCACCGAGGGAAACATTCTGTGGCGAAGTAAAAATAGGTGGAAGAGATGCAAAAGTTAGTGAGTTGAAGGTGTGATCATTTCCTCTGGACTTGACTGGCTCAATTGGAGAAAGATTGCTAATGTAGTTGAAGACGGGGGAATCCTGCATGTTGAGAAGCAGTCATTCTCACTGTATGGCCTCGCAAACGTAACAAATTTTAAATAATTGAACTAAAAATCACAAAGGGAGATACAAATATCCTCAAAATTGTTGCAGATCAGAACAAACCCAGTTATGCACAGTGACAACAGACAATAAAGCATAGGCACAAACATACTAAAAACACAAATTGAAGCAAACCCAGATTCTCAAATTCAAGCCCCCATTTGTGACCAAAAAACAACCAAATAAACTGAACCTGAAGCTAAAACCAGAACCCATAAAACCCAAAAAATCATAAATCATAAATATTTATTTATTTTTATTTTTATTTTGAACTCACAACAATTAAAAATGAACTCGGTTTGCCTTGTGTAAAGAAAACAAACCTCATATTTAGAAGGAAGAGGAGTGGTGGGGGTGGTTGTCTGATTCTTCAGAGGAGTGTCCATGCCCACAGCATAAAACTTCAGCAAATCATCACATCTCTCTTTCTCTCTCTACAATTTTGAAAGTAAGGCAGAAAGAAAGAGAGTGAGTGAAAATATTGGAGGGACTTGGGAGGGGCGGCAAGGCGGGAAGAGAGGGATTTCTCTTCTTTAATTTTTCCCTGTGGGGACCGCCCTTGACCACTGACAACAAATTTAGACGACGTTGTCTTTGAGGCTTCGGTCATCAACACGACTAATAGGCTCGAAAGTAAAAGACGACCCAATTACGATAGCACCAGAACGAAAAAGCCAATTAGATTTTACCGTGGCCCACAAGTAATTGCCGGATTTTGGGAAACTCTCATTTTCTTTTTCAACTGCGGAAAACTAATCCAAACTAAATTAGGAAACCCAAATTTGTTTTCTACTTTTTCTTTTGGATTTCCTAAGTTGGTGAGGAGACTAGTCTGATTTCCATATATGTTGATCGGTGGAAAGCACGTTGCATTAAGAACCAAACCCTAGAAGCCAATTACCACTTCCTAGATAGCTCTTCAGTGATTTCTTTGTCTAACACACCTCTGAATTTGATCATCCCATGACGATAAACATCACCATAAACTTGTGTGGGCACCATAGTACTAACCAGGAGCAAGTCACGAAAGTCTTGCGGGTGCCCACAAGACCGAGAAGCAAACGTCGCTATGATTATAAGAAGATGAAATCTCTCATCTCCTTCATTGAAAACCTAGGCCTTAGCCCTGAAGAGTTTCAAGAGAAGATTAGGCAGCTGAGGTACTCAAGAGACTACACTTTCCTGTCCTCTGATGAACGCGACAACAATAATGTTAACGCGGTCAAAGCGGTTGACTTTGGCCTCTATAGTGCGTTGACAAAAGCTATCAACTGTGACATGCGAAGTCACCAAAACGAACATCATAAAAATCTTAATCAGTTGCAGACATCAAAATCTGGCAAAGTTGAATTTGTAGAACGTCAGAAGAAGGAAAACAGTAAATGTCCAAGAGGTTTGCGTACATTTGTTCTTCATGACAATGACGACGAAGACGACAACGGAGGAGGAGGATATGAGATACCAAGATGAAAAGCCTTGAAGCGCAAAAGGGAAAGTTAAGATTTTGCCGAGAAAGATCTACGTTTAATTAATCTCAGAATCGATGATATATATAGAATGATGAAAAAAGAAGTATAGATGTATTAATTGTTGTTGAGCTTAGTGAACAATTTACAAGCTTTGGATTATAATGCGTGTAATGTGTTGCATATGTTTAGTTATTAGTCACAAACCCCTTTCGATTTTTTTATTATATTTTTTTTGGGTAAAGTGGGGGCTAGGGCTAGGCCCAACACATCTAAACAGAAATAACCATAGGCCTCAACAGACAACCCCTTCTAGTTAGATTCCACCTGAGTGATGGCAGAAAGAGCATCTCCCAGTAATAAAAAAAAACTTCGACATTTGACAAAATATAATTTAAAACAATCAAAATTAATATCGGCAAAAAATGATCAAGACCTGTAGGATCTGTGGTCAGCTTCTTACAAAATTGAAACACTTGAAAATGTGTACATATGAATGCGTTATAGAACAAATCTCAAATAATTTTCTACCCAACTACAACATTTTCCTAGTTTAGCTATCTAATCTAACCCCGTATAGACAAAAGCTTATACTCCGAACCTATCCTCCCCACCACTACATTCAAAGAATTTCCTACTATCTGATGCAGCCATATACATGCAAAGCTTTCCAATCCCCTTCTTCTGTTGTGACATTGGCAGCATGCAATACAATGGAATTGTCTTGAAACTTAAGATCCTTACTTACACATATGTCCATCAAATTTTAATAGCTACCCGGGTTTTGATGGGTTTGAGCTTGATTCCTAGACTCTCAGGAGAAAGAAGTTCTGGCGCTATGCATGATTGGTTCGAGGGGCTGGTGGGATTGGAGTCATTACTTGATGAGGAATTAGAATGTGGTTGTCTGTAGTAGCCAAAACCCCTGAGGAAGAACTCAATCGGAGTTATCATGGCGTATGGGTGCTCTTCTGTTACCAGTGAGCCACATGCCTGAACCTGTCAAGGGCAGAAAATATGCCTTGTCAAACAAGCATCTTAATTGTCATTTTCTTAGTAGAATACTGATGTGCCACACATGTTGGGTCCCTTAACAGGAAACGATAAGGTAAGTGGAGGGAAGATTTATTAGTGAAAGTATTAACTGGGGAACCTACCTCAACAAGAGCACAGCTTCTTCTGTTCATTTTGGCATTCATATACACAGATTCAGCATGGAATGGACTACTGTCACCCACAAAAATAAGCGTCTTACACTGCAAATTCTTCAAGCCCTCTGTAAGGTCATGCCTCCTGCAAATAAACTTTCAATTAAGTTCATCGGATGCAGAAAGAAAACTATGCAATTTTATCACATTTGGAAAGGCATGCAAGACTTCAAATCATTTCTACTAACTTGCAGCTCTCTCTTTGTTTCTAATCCACTCAATTATTGAAGCAGAATTACAGGTAATATTTTCAATATGAATTACTCTAGTACTAGTTAGGTGCTGATCATATAAAGTATGTCAATTTCATGTTGCACCTCAAATGACTTGAGGCGGAACACATTACAGGGAACCAGATACAAAAAAATAAAAATTAGAATGATATGCAACGGAGCACATGCTTATTGCAGTGAAAAGATCTTACTCATTAATTGCTTGAAGGAATCTCATGACATTTGAACTTTGCCTTTCATCCAGTAACTGTATTCACACATCATGAAAAGAATTAATAGCAGCTCAGTTATGTACAATTTACAATGTTGACATTATAAGAACTCTTTACAGAGTAAGCAACAAATTGTTAAAAGTTCCTTACCCTTCGGCAAGCTTGTATAATATCTGATTCTGCAACATGCATGCTAGACCTAAGCTCCTACATAGGAAGAATATAAGTATATAACAGATACCAAATCAGAAATGACCTGATAAAAAAAGGTAAACTGCACTACCTCGCTGAAGTAACGCTGCAGAAGGCATTCCTTCACTACATCACACATACCATAGAAGTACAGCAAGTTCAACAATACCTGAAAATTTGGAGTACATGAAATCTTAAGCAGGATGGTCAATAAGTCAATCTAATTTTACTGCATGTAGAAAACTTCTACCAGAAACAAGTACACAAACAATATCAACTTGGTAATGGAAATTATAACCTTGTTGTAAAGCCATTCAGTCCATGAAGGTACTTTGCAGATAGGAGACACGAGTACTAACCCAAGCACTCGTTCTTTATACTTCATCTGCCCATTGGAAATTACATGACACAATGACTAAATCAGAATATCACAATAGGCCAACAGATAAGAGGGTATTGGTGACTTACTGCAACGAGTGTAAGGATATAAGCACCAGCTGTTACACCCAAGCACATGACTTCTTTCAACCTGATTTTAAGTTGAAAAAATGAAGAAGGAAATTGAGAAATAGAGAGGTAAGCAAAACAGCAAGTAAAATACATATAATCTCCTCTAGATTACATCAGTCAGAACATAAAATTGTATATGCATATTGTTGAAATGAAAAAATTTCACATTTTCCCTCAACACATATATCTCAGCTTCTAGTGGAAAATCATCATTGAGAACCTATTCTCTGTGGTAGAACATTTTATTAAATTCTCTCATCTCAAAATACAAGATTGTATCTCTCCAATGGTAACTTTTGTCAGGATATGCTAAAGAATCAAAAGTAAAAACACACATATAAGCAATCATAATCAGTACGTGATAATAAAGCAAAGGAAGTTTGATTGCTGGAATCAATAAACTTACCCAAAGAAATCAAGCACTTCGACCACCTGGTCTGCAAGGTCATCCACGCTAAGCAAGGGGACATCTGAAGAAATCACAGCAGCTCCCAACTGCAGACACTCTTAAACAAATGGGGTAGAATACTCTATTAAAATCACCAAAATGTTATGAAAAGAACTCCTAACAAACTTTAAATATAAAAAATATATCTAAGGCTGAAGATATGGGATGCATATAACGGACCTCATGGCCAGGTGCATCAATGTGGTAAATGCAAAAGTTGTGAAGCAGCAAAGAAGCAGCATCTGAGCAAAAGAGGAGGCCTTGGAAACAGGACATGTCTGTTGAAAGTGTTTTTTGTTTATAAGAACATAAGCATCTAACACCCAAAAGCAAATAACATCCAGACACTGAAAATTCAACCTTTTTCCATACATTGGGGATCAGAATAAAACTAAAATAGCCATTCCAACTACCTCAAGAACATGCATCAAGTCCAAATAAATCATTGGCAAAAAAACAAAAGAACAAGAATAGAATCATACAATTGAGAGCAACGTCAGGGTATGTTATCAAAGCAGGCTTTCCTTGATCCCCACAAACAAGCACAGAGACTGAACCTTTGCTTGTGTTCACCACACATTCCTGCAATAGATTCATACATGAACCAAAACAGGATGCAAACGAAAACCCATTAAAGAAAATAGAGAGACAGAGAAAGAAATGCAAGTTGAGGCTCAGGAAAACACAAGTTCTGCTTTCTTAGCGGGCTTGTAAATTGTTTCTTACCTTCCCTCCTAAAGGTACCATATCAATGTCAATGGAGACTGAGTCACTCGAATCCCCCATGACTCAGTTACTAACTGCGGATTCTTGAACACCAAAACGAAGCTCTTCTCTGCTGCTTCTTCTTCCTCTTCTTCTTGTTTCTTCTTCGGTTCTCTTTTCTATCTCTGTTTTTATTTCTGAATTATGAGGCACACCCTCCAAGCAGCAAGTTGTCCTGTTTTGCCGAAATGACAATTGTCGCCTCCTGTCTATGATTTGATTGCTGGTCTTGGACCTGGTGTTGGCTTTGGGTTATCCAAGTGACCGTTGCAATGGCAGGGGTTCTTGTGTAATTTCGTCTGAAGCATATTACAGCTATCTGACACCTGGACGCCGCAGAAAATGAATAATCCCAGACCTAGTCTATCATAACACGCCAGCTCAGCACTGACCATGCTTAGCTGCCTCCTTCCCTTTGTTTCTTTTTATTTTTTATTTTCACTTTAATTCCTATTGTCTTTTTTAAAAAAAAATGGGATGGATAAAGCCATACAACTTTGTCACCATGTTTTTATTTTTAGAATAAACTTTGCGGCCATTTTGGCTTGAAATTATAATGACATAACATGTTACATTGTTTAATAATTTATAGGTTTTGTGGGTGATTCCGTGCAAATAATTTGGCCAAAAAGGAAAATTTTGTTTATTTTCTCGGATTAAATAAAGAGCAAGTAGTTACAAAAATAAAGATTTAAAAGGGTGAGTTATATGAGGAAGCAATTTAGGCATTATGCATCATCATCACTGCATCTGATGGATTGAAACATTTCATAAAAATTAATGCACATGATTGATGTGTTACTGAGGACCCATTATACGTTAATCACGGCCAACCTTTTTAGATTTTAGATTACTAACAATCAAATTTAACTTTTTTGGTCTGAACCTGAAAAGATGTATACTTCTGCATAGTTTATAGCTCACATAAATGACATTCATCATATACAAAATTGAGATTTTATTTTAACTTCCAATTTTTTAAAAAAATTGTAAGAAATCTATTTTTGCCCTAATCCCGAGGAGAAAGTTATAGTTTATAAAATAAAAATTGTTAGCCGTATCACATTGTGTATTATCTCTTTAATAGAAGTGGGGCCTATTGTATTTGTTGACTCCATCTCTAAGAGAGGTGATACACAGTGTAGTATGCTTAACATTGCTCTTATAATAGGTCTCGTTTAGTGGTCAATATGAAAATGTTGAATTAGACTTATTAGGCCAAGACTAATCTTTGAGTATGTTCATTTGCGACTCATATCTAAACTTGGAGTTCCTCGTATTTTGAGGGAGTATGTTCAGTTGTGACCCGTATCCAAACTTCATCCGTTCGTGAAACTCATACATATGCATCAATTGGGGGTAGTACTTAGCTTAGCATCCCTTAGAAAAGTTGGTGTCTCCTGTTCTTACAAGTTGAGCTTTCTTAAGCAAACATAATAAGAGGGAGGGGAGTGATTAGCGGAATTTATTGCTATTCAATTCAACTCAAGTTGAGGAACACATACACACGCGCGTATTTGCAGAGATGGGGAAATCACACTCATGCGAATTTGTCGGTCACGTAGGCGACGCACCCGTGGACTATGAATGCACATGCGGCTTTGGCATTTCTATTTTTCAATTTAGTTTTGGATCCTTTCATTCAATAATTATAGTGGTCTGCAAATTTGGTGCCAAACAGTTCAGAAGCTGTGGCTTTCAGATCCTACAAGGGGAAGGAATGCTCTGGCAGTTTGGCAGAAATATGAAAGGCAATCCCAAGTTGAACCAGCCTTGGTTTAGTTACTTGTTTTTTAACACATGCCTATAAGCAGCTACATGGACCCAACTGATCTTACATTACATGTTCATTGATGCGTAAGGAAGGACACTTGCATTGCTAGTAACCATCTCAATTTTTAAACCTCAAAATCATGGCTGCAAAACATTCAATTCGGCCAATGAGGTTGGTTCAATTCTGCAAAACATCAAAATCATGGCTCCCTCTAAACTTTTTTTCACAAATTTAGTTATATACTCAATCTTATACATAGTCTTATAAAGAAATACTATACCATTTAAAAACTATAAAATAAAAAAATAAAAATAAAAAACCAAAACTCAACAACTGTACATTTTTTAATTTAATTAATAAGATGAAATACCTTTATTACCCTTTTTAGCATTAAATTAGTTTTGGATCTCACTTGAATTAGAATGCAGAGAACATAAAAATTCCCTCTCATCCTTCAAACCCTCATCTCTCCTCTGTTCTCTCCCTTCTTTTAAAATTGAAATTCTGATCCCTTTATCTGGCGTTGAAGCCATATCAGAACTCATTTCATGAGCTCTAGTCTCTCATCTTCATCTTGAACCCCAATTTTTAATTTTTGTTCTTCCATTTCTTGTTTTGAAATCATCTTTTTCTTTGGATTGTTTGGATTCTACGGATGTCTATGTCTTCTCCCCACTGCTGGCTCTGACACTTTTTCAAAAGACCAAGCCTCAACTCGCCAAATCAGATCATCTCGATCTCTCCAAGTTTGTTCTCCTATACTTTCTTCTTCATCTTTTTGTTTTTGCTTCTAGATTTGTGGATGAAGGTATTAGAATATGGTGGAATTTTACACTGAAATCAAAGGAACCTTGATCTCAACAAGTCGTCTTGGCGGAAACGACAGTCGATGACCTTGCTAGTTGTTCCAAAGTACTACACAACGACAACAACTCGTCATCTTCAGTTGTGGAGGAAGACAGGGATTTCGCCACGTCGTCGTCGTCATTGATTGGTTTGGACTTGAGATTTTTTATCTTTTACTTCAATTATGTGTTTTTCTTCGGATTTAAGTTGATTTGAGGAATGTATTTTAAGCTTTGATGATTAATTTATTTTTTGTTACTATTTAGGTTATGGATCTCATTTTTGTTTAACAATATACTTTTATGACATAGTATTAATTAACAATGTACTTATATGACATAGTAGTATCAACAAGATAAATTTATGACATAATATTAACAATGTATTTCTATAGTAGTGTATTAACAATGTACTTCTATGACATAATATTAACAATGTACTTCTATGACAGAATATTAACAATGTTCTTCTATGAAGAGTCCCTGCTTGTTTTCGCGATTTTTTTTTTAAAATAAATTGTTTGGGTTTTTAAAAATAAGTATGGATTGGGCTTGTTTTTGGTTTTTATTTATTTTTAGTTTTTTCGTGTTTAGCTTTTTTAAAGTTAATCAATGACAATCATGTAATTTATAAGAACTTCAACACCCATTTCTTATGTAGTAAATGAGTTTTGAGTGTGTTTTTAAAGTGCATTCCATGTGGGGTTTCTTTAATATATAATTTCAGCCTCTATTTTAGGTATAATAGTGAAGCTCCCAACTTAAAAATAATAATAATAAAAAATTCAATTATATGACCAAAAAAAAACATTCGATTCAACTAATGAAATGAATCCATAAATGAACAAAGAAAATAGGAATTACAAGGTTCAAATAAGTTTCAGTTGTATTTCCATCAGTCCTTTGCAGCAATATCTTAATTACTAAGACCCTACACAGTCTTCAACATGAAGAAATCACACTTTGAAAACGCTATGTAAATCTCAACCAACCATTTTTAACATTTCCATGCAACACCAAACCAGACATGAATTGACCATTAGAAACACCATTAAATATCACTTTCAAAGATTCTTCCAAATCCAGACATGAATGGACCCCATTATATTCTCTTGATCTATGCTCTCTCATTTACTCTCTTGAGAAGCAAAGGGGAAATAAGGAGCAATTTCATACACCAGAAACAAACAATTAGAGAAAACAGATGTCAGAAACTCACAGTAGAAAGTATACACTTGATATGCTTGAGATCCGATTCATTGAAGCACCGTGTGCTGCTAGACGATTAGGCTCCACAACTGTAGAAGATTCTTTCCAAGGCTTAAGAGAAAGATCAGTCGGGACTTGTCCCCTTCTATCCTCAAACTGATGCCTAGCACATACTTTTGCTTCAAACTTTCACCCCAAACATAAGGCAGGAAGAAGTTCTGCAGGATGCTTCTATCACAGTTATATACATCTCTTCATATTCCTTCAACTACTTGCAACTTTTACTTTCTACAACCCTTCTTTCCACCTATTGACTAGAAACCGTAGTCTTTATGAACATCTCAACATCAATAAAGTATATTTTCAAGACCAAAGATTCTTTTTAGTTCTCTGTTTTCTATAATGTAAGGTTTCAATCTTGAGCTCAACAAGGAAAAGCAGTATACACCTCCATGAATTGCTTAATATCACGACGCGAAAGCTTCAATAGCATTAGGTTGCGGAATTACGAAAACATTATTCAAGTATCATAGTAGTTACATGTTTCATCATATCTTATTCTAGCTTATATTTCCAGATCTATGGCTATTTAACAAGAAAAAAAGGATGTCTTTCCTGGTCCTTTAACATTCATTCCAACTTAAGGACATAATTACAGCTAAGATGACATGCTCAATAAGAAACTTGGGGGTAAAAATTGCGAGGACAAGCACATGAATTTCGATCTAATAAGAAATTTGCACATCAATGATTTTGACATAGAATTCTCAGAAGGACAAAAATAAGAATGAAATTAACACGGTATGAAGGATATACAACCAGTAAAAACAAAACTGTCTCTGATCTATTTGGATTGCTCAAGCTCCTCATAAGGAGAAACAAAAGAAAAAGGTTAAGAAAAAACAAATGATTATATAACAAATGATCATATATAATCATTTTTTGTGGTAATTCAATCACATAGCTGATAAAATCATCACTCACTGGAGGTTTTCTGTTAGCAATCAATGGAGAACTTCCGACCTCCTCTATTCATTCTTCCAAGCATACAGAATCAGTGAGAATCCTAGACCCTGCGACTTACTATCTGAAAATCTCTGTGAAAATGACCACTGCAACGCACTTGGATCAGAGAGCGGTTGGCTAGCCCACAACTTCTCAGCTGAGAGGCATGTCTTGAACATAAAAACAGCATTTCCGGGTGATGTACCAAAGAGCCAGTTGTGAACATCCCAGAAAACTTCAACTGCAAGCCCATCAACCAAGATGGTATGATTCCCCCGGAACTTCCACCGAAGTCTCTTCACCTGCATCACAGGCTTGCTGTCTACGCGGACCAGGAGGCACGGGTCATTGACCCCAAGAGTATCACATTCAATGACAAGATCATGCAGTTGACCATTATTAGAAAATTGAGCCTTTGTGGTGAAGCCCCTTTTACCAAAAACATGCTCTCTCTTGGCAACACAAACAGCATTAGAAGGCACAGGGCTGGCACTAGTCTTTTTGAAAGCTTCTTTTCTCATATCTCCAAGAAGGAGAAGCATTTGCCGGTCCACCACAACTCCCACGTAATATCCCCCTAAAGGTTCAGGCCCGGATCCGAATTTCGCCGAAGAAAGGTCCCAATATATGTCAATTTTACTAGAATAAGCTTCCAAACTCTTGAACCCTCTTCTCTTGGAGAACAACCAGGGCTTAATATCAACCTTACAAAGACACTGATTTGACGAATCATCTATCCCGACACTAAGCCCTTGACCCATCAAATTCTTACTCCAAGTTACAGTAATCAAGCAAGACCTGCCTCGTAACCGGCATTGATAGACACAAGTAACCAAATTCTGGGCAGTCCTACTAGTATTTGATGAAGAAGAATCAGCAACTTGAACCCCATTTTCACCAAAACAAGATGGGAAATCTCTCATCTTCAACCCAAGAACCTCAATTAACTTTTCCAAACTTTCTCTCGGGATTTTTAACAAACAAATGGTGACCTTATGCAAACAAAACAAAGACAAAACAAGCACTCAGAAATGAGCAAAAGAAGAGAAAAGAAAGATAAGCAAAACAACAAGAAGCAGAGGAGGAGAGCCAAGTAACTCTTACCTCAACTGATCAGGGACAAAGGCGAAGAATCTATCTCAAAAGTGCTTCAAAATCTGATTATCCAGCCTTGATTTGATCTGGTATGCTGGGTCTTGATGCATTAATCCAGGTTGAAGCAGAGCATGAGAGAGCACATCTAAAACGAAACGGACGAGCTTGGAAATGTAGGTTGCAAAATAAATCACACAGAGAAGCAGACAAAAAGCATACTTGTTTCACTATCAACAGGACCTCGCCAAAACACAAAACCGTAACAAACAACAATAGTAACAATAAAAATTGAATCTTTTTCTCAAATAAATAAAATAAAATAATAGCCACTGAAGAGAATACGAAGAAAAAACAGTAAAGCTGATGCAGAAAGAGATAAATGTTTAAAAAAATATATACCTCAAGATGGCGACAGCTGGTGTAATCTATTGAAGGTGAAGCAAAAAGAGGGCTAAACTGGGTATTGCTGGAAAGGCTGGTTTTTGAAAGATTACTCTACGCTGAGAAAGGAAAAAAGCATCTCTTTCTCTCTCTCTCTCCCTCTCCTTCTCTTTCTCTCTCTAGACCTTGCTTTAGCTGACATGCTCACATGAGATACAGAAGCCCAAACACAACCCAATTGAGAATTTTTTTCCCACAGTTTAATTGGAAGAGACAAACTGTTTAGTGCTATATGTTACAAGAGCTTTCAGAGCTCGGATTGAAACCTCCACTTTCATGGAAATTAAGGCATATAAACGGCAAATAAAGAAGAAGGAAAAAAGAAAAAAGCTTTCCTTTTTTTCCCCTTCCTCTATTGGTGGTTCAATTTTTTCTTTTTGCATGTATTTAAAGGGGGAGGAGAGGAACAGAGTAAAATAACAGTTTTGGGTAAGAGGGCCCCCACCGGCCTTTGTAAGTGCAAGCACGATGTGTCTCATATTAATTGGTTTTTAAGAAACAATAATTGCATGCATTACACACTTAATTTTCGTTAATTTTTTTTTCCTTGTACTTTTCTTTTGTTTACGTTTTCTTTCTCTCACATATAATGTTTTTTTTCTTTTTCTTCCACATAATTAACCTCAACAGGTCGACATATTTGTTGTACACTTTGACAGTGCACTGTGCAGTCGCAGTACAAGAAAGACCTTTGACCGAACCCAGGACTCATTTTAAGGAGTGTACCCAGTCCCTGTCCTTTTCACTGGTTCACTGCCGACCTCATTTTACACCCAACCACCCTCTCTCTCTCTCTCTCTAAAAATCTTCAGGTACTCTCTCTCTGTTTCCTCTGTTTTTCGAATCTGTATGAGTTGTTATTGTAATAAGAAGTGGATTTGATTCTAAAGAGTGGTTGGACAAGTGTTTTAGGCAAAGGGGTTTGCTTTATCTAAATCTTTGCTTTAAATTATTATTATTATTATTATAAGTTCCAACAGAAGAGACTGATTTTCATTTTACAAAGCAAAAGCTCAGAGCCTGAGATACACGCACTGCTCTACTTGAGAATTGAATGGCCCCAAAATATATGGAATTTTGTTTTTTTTTTTTGGTGGTAATTTTATCTAAACATGGTGGTCTTTAATTTCACCTTTTGTTTGTTTCCTGTTTAAGAGCATATTCTTGCAATGCAATGTAGACGTTGTACTGTCTTTTTTGTGTGTATAATTCAGTCAGTGTCATGTCATGTTATAAAAACTGTCCATGTAATTAATTATTATATAATAGAGTTAACTCAATCAGTAAGAGATTAAGGTTGTTGCCACAAAAAATAAAAGAGTTATGAGTTTATTAATTATGATAATCTAACCATAACATTAGGTATTTTTTTAATACAAGCGTTATTCTAAACTATAAAAAATGAAGAGGGTTCACACATACTACCAAGATATCATGAAATTCAAACCTGAAACGACTGACTAGTATGCAAGTCTATTGAACTATACCCCATTAATGCATTCCTTTCGGACACACTTGGACTAAAACAATAACATTAATTTTTAAAGTAATTATTAGAAGAAGAAAAAAGTTAGTAGTTCTCAAAACATGTTATACATCCCTGAGAATCCTGACACATTTTGACTGAAACACGACAAGAAAAACGTTATAAAAAAAACCCCAAGGGAACGTAAAAACATGCTAGAACAATTTGATAAATTTACAGTTTCAAGCTTTGAGTGGTTTTTTCTTAATACAAAAAAACTTATAAGTTGTGAAGGTGTATCGTACGTGCTTGGTGGGGTGAGGTGGGGGAATACAAGTGTGAAAAATAGAAGGGCTCGGGCGCTGGCTGGTATAATAAGGACAGCTAAATTTATGAGTGAGATTTGTAATTGCCTTACTTTATTGGATATATAACACGTGGTCTTCACGTGTGCTTTGTCCATGGACCATGCCTTGCCTCACTAGGTTATATTCCACGTGTTACTTTGTCCAGCCCAAAATTTGATCCTCTATTGGAATGTGGACTTGTTGGGCCTTAAATACCTATTTTATTTTATTTTGGATTTATATTCGCAAATATTTGTTTTTAATATAGAGATGGTGTCACTTTATGAAGGATGGTAGTTATTACGGAAGAATGGCAAAGAGGGGTGGGGACTAGGAATTGTGGGGTTTCCGTTAAAAAAAAGAAGATAATAGGAGGCAAGTAAACTATCAAAATCCTAAGTAAGTAAGAACTTGTCAACAGATTACTCTAATTTTTCTTTTAAACCAATTTATTGCATCAAATTTTCGTTATTAACTGGCGGGATAATTTTTTACTTGTTGTGAATAAATAAGGTCTAAAATAGACTCGTATATGAAAAATAAAATAAAAATACACACACAACACGACCACATTAGTTGGAATTTCAAAATTAACGACTCTTGTACTACTCGACTTTAGGTCAATAGATCGGCTAGTGTAGATACATATTCAAGAACCCTTTTACCATGGAGATCACAAAACTTAAATGATTGACACAAAGCAAAGAACACCTATTTACTTTGGTTAGGCTTAAGAGATTCAACTTAGACCGGACACCTCAAGTTTATAGAGGACTTACTTTAAGCCTTTATCTCAACCTAGTCATATAATTATTGACTGATTCTGACTGGCCACCACCACCACCTAGCTTCTCAGATACTTTTTCACTTTCATCTTTTTCAAACCTAGCTTATACGACGGGCAATGAACTATAATTGGACCGACATGGACGACTATTTGGACAAAAAGTTTTAAAAAAATTAAAGTTAAGTAAGTAAATTGAAATTCTTCTTGGTCTTAACATTATTAAATTGATATTGCATCCAAAATGGTACGTGTAAGCTGCTCTTTGGCACACTTATCTGTCCGTCCTATGGTAGGGACCACTGAAACAATCATATCAAATCATGGATCATTAAGTTACATATAAACAATTACCTAATTGGGGATCCACATGCCTTTATATTTTACATCATGTTATACCGAGGAGAGGAGGCAAAGGAAATTTATAAAAATAAATTAAAACTTTGATATAGCGAATTATTTGGTGTCATTAATACGATAGCCCAAAAAACCATGATGAAGTGACATGAGATTTTTCACATGCAAAGAAAGAAAAAAGAAGGGCACAACACAATGAGTATAACTAGCGTGGAGAGAGAGAGAGAGAGAGAGAGAGAGAGAGAGATTCATGCGAAATGGAAAAAGGAAAAAGCTCAAAGCTGTGAAAATGTAATGAAGGTACTTTGTCTGTCTGTCTCTATATCAACTTTGTACAAATATTTTGCTTGTATCTATCATTTCGTTATTCTTTTCTACCCATTCCTTCTGAACTTTCAATCAAGTGTGGGCTATGTTTGGATTTTGATGGTGTTTGCAGCAGAGAAAGAAAAGATAAAAAAAAAGGAACGAAGTGGAGGGAAAAAGAAAGTCAAAAGGGTTAAATTCCAAGATAAGATTGTTGGTTTTTTTTAAAAACAAAGATATAAATCATCCTACAAGAAAAGAATCCACTTGCATCAAGTTGGGCTTTACTAAGAGTTTGAAACTGTTCATTCTAAAGCCATGTGGCCAGTTAAAACCGAAAGCCCACTATTTTGTCCAAAACCAAAAACCAAAAACCATCAGGGAGGTGGATTTCAATAAAGAAGTTCGGGTGTATGAATAATTACTCTTAACTAATTGAGTTACAAGAACTCGCTCGCATGTTATTATCATTTGAGTTAAATTGGGATATAATTAGTGGCACTAGCTCTTTTTTTAGTTATTTGAGAATGATCTCGCCACATGCACATTTTTAAATCAGATAAAAACAATCGTTTCAAAAGTGGAGATGGACAGATAGATAGATGCCTTGAAAGAAAATATAAACTAAGCTGGATTAAGAAAGGTTTAGTTGTTAAGTCACGTGGTTTGGTTGTTGGTTGTCTCATCTTATATTTCCTTAGACTATCAATGTTTGTTTGAGACCGCTGTTTGTGGTTGTTATTTCTCTCTCAGTTTCTTGTTTTCTTTAGGATAATAAGTTGCAGAGAGTAACAGAGAGAGAGAGATGATATGTCTAGGCAGAGTCTTGTAAAAGATGCTTGGATTAGAGAAGCTGAAGAGGCTTCAAGTTTGGTGGAAGATTTGGAGGCCAAGACCAAGAACAAGCACCCTGACCAATTGAGCCTCAGAGAAATTGCTCGATCCAAGCTTCTGGAGCTTGGAATGAAACTTGATCGCCTCGAATCACTCCTCCACAACCCGCCCTCAAAACCCATCTTGTAAATTATGCTCTTGCTTTTCAGCTGTTTTATTGGAATTGATTATGATTGATTTCATACTTAGCTTGGTTTATGGTGCTTGTACTTTCATGTCTTTCTCTCATAATTGGAGTGCATTTGCTGGCATAAGTAAACAGAACTAAAGAAGATGTGGATTTTCGTTGGAAAATGCTCTCAGATATCCAGCTAAGGACGAGAACGTTGGCTCTCAGTTTCTTTGTGCTAGAAAGGCAGGCTTCTTCCTTCCCAACAATTTGACATATCTGTCTGTTTGACTAAAATTTGATATATCATAATGATTTTATTCCAAAATTGAAGAGATAAGGATGATGTTTAATTACTTTCTTTAGTTCTTATGAACTTGGCATTTGCATTTTTACTTCTGCTCAGATCAGAAAGACTTCCTGCTATCAAAGAAGACAACAAAAATGCAAACAGATGTGACCAAGGTACAGCTTTATATGTCACCGTCAGTCGGTTGGTTTAAGTCTATTTGGTAAAGCTATTTATCATTCAAGAAGCATTCAAGCCTGGTTAGATTCTGTGAAGAAGCAATCTGAAGAAAAATCCTGTAATGTATCAGAATTTGTGTTAATTTTATGTGTCAGCAGTCTCCTTTTGTTACATCAATAATTATTTGGTTCGTTTTTCGTATACTCATTTTGTTATTCAAATCCATGCTGTGGTGCAGATGAAGTGAAGCTTTCGTTCTCTAAAGATGACCAAGAGCTGCTGACACCTCTTCTTGTAAGTTCTTTCATAATAAACCACCCATACTCTTCAAATTCCACCTATAATTTATATTAGTATCTTTTTTTGTCTTTGGCAAGACAGACAATATTGTAACAAGAAGTCAAGTGCAGGCACATAATTGCCAAAAACCGAAAAAAAATTCTGACTTTAGTGTGATTTGAGCTGCAGATTAAACCATCCAATTCTTATACTCCGATGAGCTTGCGTTGGAAGACTTGCTGGGGCATTTCTGTGGTCTTAGGGGTGACTGCATGTCTGTTCATATTAGTTTTCCAATTTGTGCACACATAATCATCATCACTTGATATAAGTATTTGATGTTGTGATGGTTTATCCATGCAATTTGGAGCAGTATTTTCTCTGCCTTTTTCCTTTTTTAAGTGAAGATTGTACAAATCTATTAATTTCAGAACAAGGATACATCTTCTGCAATGTAAAATTAAGTACAGTTACATTACAACACAAGGATTCTCACTCAAGCCCATCATCATGTGACAGAGTTGGGAAAAGAGTTGCATTGTACAAAACCAGAAACTACAATGCTAGAGAAGACAGACAGAGAGACAAGATTAAAATGATTGTTGGAAAAAATAAAACTATGCCACACTAATAATGCAACCTTATCATCTTCCTTGTACTTTTTAAATGAGCTTTGATTTCTTCGAATGTATAATAAAATCTTCATATTTCAAAATGAGCATTTCTGTGATTTTAGGGGTAACTGCATGTTATCTTAGTTTTCCTAGGTGCATATACCGTTTTCTTTTTGAAGTGAAGGTTTTGTAAATATATATTCTATTTCAGAACAAGGAAACTGGGTACTTCCGCATGTAAAAATAATTACATCATTTTCTTCTTAGCTAATGATAGTAAGCCAAAGAAAATTCATCAGAAACAAGACTGCTTTGCTGGACATAATTCTTACTCAGGAAACTGGACATAATTCTTACTCAGGCCTATCATTCTGTTCCTGCTCAAAAACAAAAAGCAAAGGAGGGTTTCAGAAAATTGTGCCGTTTAGCAATTAAGTTAGCTGCATGTTTTGGAAAATTGAATGCTTTATTGTTTAAGTGTTGTTAATTCTAAATGGCTGTACCTTTTGCAGGATTATATAGACACCATGAAAGGGGCAACTTTATCTGACAGGCAAGCTTCTGCCCATATATGTGATGTTGGGGAAGAGTCGGTGGGATTGCGAAAGAAGCTTGCAGCCCAAGATTCTGGGGAATAAACAAAAGCTGCTGATACTGTTTAAATATTTTCCAAATAAAATAAAAAATTCGAATATTTAACGGTATAGCCGGGCGGCTATACTCTCGAAATGTATTCGAATATTTTAATATATTCGAATAGTTTAATAGTATAGCCGTTCGGCTATAACCGTCAAATATATTCAAATATCCAATAGTACAGCCGACCGGCTATACTTTTTATATATTCAAATAGTTTAATAGTATAGCGTGCGGCTATACACGTTGTATTAAATATATTCGAATATTTAAATGTAAAGCCGATCGGCTATACCTTGTGATTATAATAGTTTAATATTATACACACGGCTATATATTTAGTGTAATCGTATAGTCGCGCGGCGATACTCTTTAAATATATTCAAATTCTTTAAATTATATATATACTAAAGCTCAATCCAACTAAACACTGTTTCTAAGCACAGTGAATTTACGAAAATGCCTTTATTTTAAACTGTTCAGCCAGCTTTTTCTCTCCTTTTGAACAGTAAAATTACGATTTTGCCCTTGGCTGATGGTTTTGTGTTTTCCCGTTTTGCCCTCTCTTTCCTTGGGATGTAACTAACGGATGTTTAGGGTTGAGAGGTGTCTGGTTGGATTTCAACTAGCTGGTTGGAGAGCTTCAGGGGTAAAATGGGATAGCTGTTGGTTCTTCGATGTCTACATCTGGAGGCTTCGACTGTTTTACACAGCCATACTTCACCGACTTCAGTTTTGGCTTCCATTCTTCACCTAACCATTGCTTCACTTCCTTCATCCCCCTCTACAGCAGCTCCGGTTCCATCTTCCTCCAACCACCAACCACCGGCTACGGCGACCACTCCTCCTCCTTTCTCTCTCTCCCTTGCTCGCGCTCTCGCCTTTTCTCTCAACACCCACAGGTAGTGTGTTTGAAATTCTTATTTCTCTGTTCTATTCTTGGTTGTTATTTGATAAATTTGATTGGGGTTTTTTTTTCCTGGATATTTTGAGGTAAAATAGAATTCGAAACCTGATCAATTTCTTCTGGGTTTTGCAGTGCTCTGCCTCAGTTTGTTTGCTTTGGCTGTTTTCCGTTCCGGGTTGAGGTAAATTTCTTTTAAAATCTGCCTCAATTTGTAATCTAAACAATGTGGCAAGTCAATGCCTAGGAGTTTTGCCTTTTGTACTTTTGCAATTCCACTCTTCTATGAATCTGGGCGAATTTTATTTTTAATGGCAGTGGTGTAATAGATTTGGTTTACATACCCAAGTTTTCAATTTGATATATGATAATGTTGAATTGAGTCTATAATCAAATTTGTTTTATGATGATGAAATGAGATGACAAGAAATGATGATGATGATGATGATGAGGACGAATTGATATGTTGAGAATTGATGACATGAAGCAAAACTCAATAACTAAAAGGCTGTTTTGGGTTAACTAACAATCACATCGTGCAAAGAGATCAGAAGTCGGAACCTAACAAATCTGTTGCATATCTCAAACTATGATGTGATAAGGCCCCTTAAAACCAATATCTCCCTGTTTATTGAGTTTTCACTGGATAAATTTTGCTCATAGTTTTCTTCAATTGCGTTTAATTGAATCTTAATTAATAAGCATGTGTTTTTATTTAGGTATATATCTGTGTGTTTTAATGTGCAAAGGGTCGTGTTTTCAGGTGATTTTATCATTAAGATGCCAATGTTGACTGCTCCAAGTACAATTGTTAGCTCGCCTCTATTGCCAGCAGGTATTTTATGAGTACCCATTGCTAAGTTTCTGTGATTTTTTTAAGATAATAATACTAATGATTGATTTGATTGGAAGCTACAAATTTTGAAATGAGGTGTTTCTTCCATCAGTTTGTGTTTTCATTGTTCACCGACTTCCTTGCCTTCATCTTTTTCATCGCTATGATCTTCCTCTTATCTTCCAAGGTGCTCACTTTCCGACTCACTTGGGTTCTATCAGGAAGAGGATTGAATCTCACAGATTAGCTCAGGTATTTCCATCGTTCTTATTATTAATTTTTTTAATCAATTGTCGATTCAATGACTTTGCTCTCTTGGAGAAATCTTAAAAATGGAAATCATTCCCAATTTCTGTTTTGGTTGCCGATAAAACAGTGGAAAGCAAAGACTGTGTTTGAACCTTTTTTTTTCTGCTTTTGGTTGCTGTATCCTAAATACGGAGAAAAAAAATTAATGATAAAAACACAAGGAAAAAAGAAGTGAAGATTAATCATGTTTCGACAAAATAGAAATTGGGTGCTTTATTCTTTTTGGGCTTAATTTTTCTCATGGATTGCTTGCACTTGAGGGCATTCCCCTGCATGTTATTGTTTTAATGCTTTTGCCCTATGTTGGGTCATTTGGGTTGGTGTCATTTTACATTGCTAACCTTATGTTTGTACATTTTGCTTGAATTTTAGCTGCACCCAGAAAACTGTCTGAGAAGATAATATGCAGAGCAGGGGACTTGCAATCTACTGAGAAGATAATTTTTTATTATTATATTAGTTTGTTTTTTATTGTGTGCAGTGGTTAAAGAAGACTAGGAGGAAAGCGTTAATTGCTTCTCAAGTCTGTAGAGAGATATCTCACATAATGATGAAAAAGATATGTTTGTCTTTAGTCGAATGAAAAAGATATTAACCGGTGACAATAAAATAACCTCTACCTTATAATAGCAAATTTCTTTTTGTTCTTGTTTGCTTTATGAGATTCTTGGCTCACAATATCCTTCACATTTTGGGTTGTTACATAAGTAGGCAATTCCCACTGAAGCATTCAGATACATAGATGGTCAGAAAAACTAAACATATTCAATGAATAATCAAATGCATAATTGGAATCTGTGCATTAAACAAAACCCAATCAAACAGAATTACGACAAACATAAAATACCAATAATATCAAATAGTGAGAATACCAAATATCTTTAAGTGACAACAAAGTAAGAATAGATTAAGAAAAAATACAACAAGCTTTTTACAATTGAGACGCTGGCACGATCCATATTACTGGTTTATGGGCGTTCTTCATCTGGGTCTTAACCCGTGCGCCATACGAATTTGAAAAGCTTTGTGTCTCGACGTTATACACGCCATAATCATGAGGTACACAAGGTCGATTTGGTCCTAAATCAACGCTCGCAAAATCATTATCATGGTTCAAGTATATGCAATTCGGCTGCCATCCTGAAAGCTTTGAAGCCAACACATATATTGTAGAGTTATCACCCACAAAAAGAGAAATACCACCTAAAGTGTCTTTCTCAATCCACTTACACTCTTT